CATTTGAACATCACCGCAAACACACATCGGACCACATCCGCACACATACCTCTGTCCCGCGCTCTCAACCAACCGAAAAACTCGTGGTGTGCGCGACACGCATTGATTATGCAGCCATAGATCATGCACACGGAAAATTCCGTCCGACCGAAGCTGCTAAGCCTCTGTCCCTTCCCCTCCCGCGTCGTCCCCTTCCTCCTCCTCCGACACCCATTCGAAGGGACACGTCTGCGCGACGGACACACCGAAGACCTCTCGCAGAGAGGCACGTGATGGCACGCCGACTACTTTGTCCTGGCTCTGATCACCGCGCAGCCGGATGGCACAGACATAGACCTCCACAGGCTTGCCGGCATCGCCTTTGTCCGCATCAGGCCCGTCCCCATTTGGCGCAAGTGATGCGAGCGCTTCAGACACACTGCGCTTGATGCGGCCGACGGAGTCTTTGTCGGGGCCTGTCGGTCCCTCCTTGCACTGGAAGCCGTATATCGTCGTCAAGCGCCCTCTCTCGCACACGAACACGAAGAAGTCGAAGCCGAGGAAGCTCGAGTAGCGCGGCTTGACGAAATAAGATACGGAGGGCTCTCCTGCGAGTGTCGGGTCCATCTTGTCGTGGAATTTGGTGATGAGACCCTTCACCGATTCCGGCCCACTTAATTGGATGACACCTCCAAACTTGCATCCATCGTTGACTGCAGCGGGGATCAGCTGGGCCGCCGCGGCGCTGCTCAAGTCTGCTTCTGCGAGTCCGACGGCCACCAGGTGACTGTGGAGAAGTCTCAGAAGCATTCCTGCGCCGGCAACGCCCTCCCATCTCTTCCCGGCCCCCCTGTCGAGTAGAAGCTGGTCGAGAAACGTGGAAATCACCCTCAGACCAGAGGCAAATCCTTCTCCGAGCTCCGACTTGACATCAGGTTCAAGCCCTAACGCCCTACACGCCAGCCCAAGATAGCAGGGCGGCCACACACACGACGAGTCAAAGACGTCGATGAAGCGCGACCACGTCCCCAGACCACCCGCCCGCTCGACGTCGCCCTCGACGGCTGTTCGAACCACATCTTGGGCAAGGGCTGCGTTGAGAGGAGGGCGCTTGGCTTTGCGGAAGGGCGTTTTGACCTCGTCGGGGGCAGGTGGCTCTTCGGAATACGTGAGCGCCAGCAACGATGGTGCCCGGCCGGTCCAGCACACGAAACCGGCATGCACGTCTGGGCAGAGGCGGCTCTCGGTCACATCGGGCAGCTTCTGGACTCTTGGAGTCTCTGGCCGGAAGACCCTGCGGCCGCCGAACTTGTAGTAGTACTTCTCGAGATTGTCCCCCAGTGTGAAGATGTGGCTCGAGAACACGAAGCAACGGTGACGCTTGTTGAGGAAATTGTTGGTGACGAAGAAATCGAAGTCTTTTGCTGACGGCACTTTCTCGAAGTCGGTGTCTTCGGGGATGCGCAGGTTGAGCTCATCGACGAAGAGCGCAAGAGGGTGGGTGCCGAGCCATTCCTCGATGCTCCTGGAGCTGACCGACACGTTTTCGACCCAGTCGGTCCATGTCAGGTCGGCGGCTGCATTGTCTGACGCCTTTGCCACTCTCTCGAGAGCCTCAGGTGTCGCAGTAGCCCAGGCTATTCGCAGGCCAATGGACTCCAGTGGTGTCTTGTTGTCGAGCTCAAAGACACTCGGCTTGGTAAACTCGTTGAACGTTATGAAGAGAGCGGGAATGCCGTTTTGTTGGAGCCTCAGAGCGAGCTCCTTGATCATTCTCGTTTTTCCTCCAAATCAAAAGCGGCTGATAGCCGTCGGCGCCACACGCCTGTAGGGTCCCCTACGACCCCCGTCTATCGTTTCACACTGGCGGATAAGCTCTTGTGTGATCTCCTCCAGAGCAGGCTGGCCGACGTAGGGTACTTTCTGGTCGGGGTTGAGAGTGACGCTGGGCACGCCAGTGGGGTCACGGTCAGTGGGGCTGGTCAGCTTGCCGACGCTGATCAGGTCGGCGGCCTTGATCTCCACATCATTCCTGCCGCGGACGGCATCTGCAGGCAGACAGACAATACTTGAGTGAATGACTCAGTGCCCGCCTCTCTCGTTGGCTGGCTGGCTGGCCCGCCCCACCCCTCCGATCTAGACAACGACGGACCTACGTAAGGGCAGCTCGCCGCGCGTGGCCTTCAAAAGGCGATCCAGAGGCAGCAGCCTTGTGGTTGTCTTGTCAGCAGTGCTGTGGTCGCGGTGGCCCGCACCGATGTGGGTCGGGGTGTAGCGGTGCAGGAATGCCACGGATGCCGGCACTGCCCTCTCAGCCACGCAACACAAGAGCCATCCTTCCAGCATGACCAACAGGTACAAGGCACCTGGGCAAATAGGAAAGCAAACAGGCAGAAACATGCAAGATACATGAGCGTGACACACATCACACATCGTGATGCAACCGAGGTCATGCTGGATGGTCGCACTCACCACGGATCTGCCTGCCACCCACACACCAACACAGACAGGCAGATGAGATGGGTGCGTGGATGAGTGCTATCCCTCCCGCCTCCCTCTATCCCTCCCTCTCCCCTCGCCTTAGGTACGTGCATGGTGCGATGACTCTACCTGGGAGCAAACAGCATCTCAATCGACCTGCACGACAACAAGCAGAGGTGTCAGGATTGCCAGCTTGGCAAGACGAACCACTGCGAGCTTGTGAGCTAGGGTATATTGCTGTGCAACGGGTGGAGAGAGGAGAAGACAAGGAAAGACAAGGAAAGCATTCTGAGGAGACACGATCTTATCAGCCATCACCGAAGTGAGATCTGTGTTGACCACCCTTCATGATGCCATACATGGACAGAAACAACTTTGACTGACTGGCCAGTCCATCGGTCTTATTAAAGTAAAAACACTCTTACTCTGGGACTTACCGCCCAGCAGATCCTCTATTCAGCTAACTACAGGAAAGGTCTTCACCGGCCTTTTTCGCTCAAGAGGGACAAGTGTGTGGGAATACATTGACTCATAGCAATGGCAGGCAGAGTCTGTCGGTCTCTCATGAAACGAACTGCAGAGGGACACATCAATTGAGGTATCTGTGAGTGCTGGAAGCTCATGCATGAGATCGGCAGCGCCTCAACTCACCGATGTGGGACAGCACATGACATTTGTGGGGGCGGGTCATCGGATGGCAACCCGACTGCATCGACGATGGAATCGTTGATGAGATCCTGGCTGCAAAGTGTGTAAAGGCATTTCGTGAATCGGAACTGCCCATGGACTGCAACCGACCGACCGACCGCTGCTGCACTCATGGACTTTTGTCTTTCGGTAGATTTTGTCTCATGCAAAGCGACATCACATCCATACACACATTCATACATACATGCGTGCATGATGGGGTGTAGATGCACATATGAATGTGTGCAGTCAAATTGCATCGAGCACCGCTTCTCAGGCGCACAGGAAAGAACCAAGGGCTTCATGTCATCGAGGTTCATTCGGTCATCGAGGTTCATTCAACAAGGGCTTCATGTCAAAAGCGCAACGATCCCGTGGTTGTCCTTTCTTCAGGCAACAACGCAAAGGCTAAGGTGTGACACTCAGAAGAAGTCCATGTCGTCGCCACCCTCCTCCTCGCCGGCCTGGCAGAAAAGTGACACGTGATTTTCCGCACACCAGACGCGTTCCCATCGAATCGCACCTGTGCCAGGATCTCCTTCTCTCTCTGCCGTCGTATCTCGGCTTCTTCGGCATCGTCCGTCTTCTGAGAAACACACATGCACACATCCATGCCACAAGGATGATGTCACTATGCTCACAAACTACCTCACAGCCCACCTCGTCCGGGTACTGCATTGCCTGCAATAACCACAGACACCATTGCAACGCTTCAGCCCACGTCATTCTGACTGCACACCTTGACAGCATCGTTGTGGAGCTGAAGACAGAAGTATACGCGCTTGTGGAAGGCTTTCAGTGGCTCATCGGAAGCATAGACGTCAGTATTGGCCTACACAGACGAGAGCAAAATGTGTTACTGCTATTACCTGCCCAGCTTGTGAACGAATCACCTTGCTCTGCACATATTGCTTGTCGTGGTCAATTGACGCTTCGATGACTCCGTCCAGAATCGCCTGAAAGGACACGTCAACATGAAAATCGACACACTTGCCTCTTTGCAGGGAATACCTTGCCAACGATTCCTTCCGCATCAGCAGCCGAATCAAGTCCCAGCTTCATTGCCACATCAGCCTACAAACAGAACGCGAGCCGCGACCATTCATTATCGACTCTCAATATGTGTCATCTCGTCTGTGGCGTCCCCTCCGTATTTGCCTCACAAGTGAGATTCGGCTGTAGGACAGGTTGATGAGCCGCAGGCCCGCTTTGATGACGTTAGACTGCAGCCGGCGGATGAGAAAGAGCGTCCCGTCCCTCTTGAACAGGTCCTTGTTCGAATCCATTACATTCTTGAACGAATGCAAGTCACCTGTGCGAACAGCCTGGAGGCAAGGTAACCAAGGAGAAGCGAAGGGTGCAGGCGAGCTCATCTTGTCTGCCGCGTCTTGGGGTCACCTGAACGATGGCCTCGTAGGCAGAGAGGGACTTCTTGAGTTCGTCCTGATTGAACGTGGATCGGTCAGGGATGTCACCCATCAGCAACTCGACAACAATTGCCATCTTGGTGGCCTGACACCACGCACAACCACATCAACAATGGAAGTCGCGTCCAGTGTCAAGTGACAGTGCCACACGGTGTCTGACCGCCAAACGAAATCCCCGCGCAGCCTTGGGGCCTTGGGGAGCTTTGCGGATTGCCTGATGGGACACACGAACAATACATGAATGGATAAGTGGGCTTCCAATGGCACCAACTGCAGGCTTACGGTGGTGAGCTTGCCGTGGGCGTCTGAGTGCTCCAGCTGGACAGCTTTGATGCGGCCTGAAAGTAGGGAACGACTCGTGCGTGCGCGTGTGGTGGTGATGTGATGCCTTTGTGTTGTGGCTGCTGACCGATATAGAAGAGGTACCGAGCGTACTGCGCACTGGACCGCAGATTCTCAGGAAATGTTGTCTTGGACACGAGCTTGAGCGCCATCTCGTAGAGGTTGTATGCCAGGTAATTTCTCAGCAGCAGGTCTTCAGCTGAGTGGCCTGAGGACACACACAAAGGCCAGGCAGGCTGAAGAGGTGACCACTGTGCAAGGATGACGTCACCTGTCCCACAAGGTCATGATGTAGCGACGCTGTGCGGTACGCTGCCATCAAATCCCTGTCACATAGGACACACGCACACCCACACCCACACCCAGTACATGGCACATTTTGATGTTGGTTCCTACTCTCGTATCTCTGACAGGCGCCCATCCAGCTCGTACGCACGAGACAAACAAAAGTATGCCTGCAGAACCGCCCCATGACAGGTGAGAAGATATGCATTTGAATGGCATGTTCATGTGCCCACCCGTGCGGCCAGAGGGTCCAGAGACCGTCTGTTGTACGACTTGGCACGACTCACAACCAAATCGGCTCCTGACACGGCCTGCAAAAAGCACACAGCCACACAGCCACACAGTCACACAATCGCATCATAGCAAGGCGCGTGCCTGACCTTTTGAGTCAGCTTCTTGTCGACGAAATGCGTGACGACGAGTATGCCGAGATAGATCTCACATTCAGGCATGATAATGTCGAAGTGGTGTTCGTGGAAGGGGAATGGCGAAGGACTGTGTGACGACGGGGCAGCCACACCGTTCGGCAGAGGGGGTGGGGCCATCTCGACATCCTCAGACTGATATGCATGGCAGAAATGCAGAAATAGAGCAAAGCATTCACAGGTACTCCGCCACCCACATTGCCACCACATACCTGCTGTTGCCCCTCCAGCATCCCCACGAGCCGCTCCTTGTATGGCGTGTTCTTGAGCACCAGTTTGACCATCTTGAGCAAGTCGGCGACGGACATTCGGCGGCGCTGCCACGAGATGTTGCGAAGGGCACGATTGACGAGGCGCACCTCCTTAGTAACGATGCCATTGTGAATCAGCTCAAGGCTGATCCCCACGTCAACAGAGTCCATCTCCCGGGATGATGGTCCGGCCGTGTTGGCTCTGTGTCGTTGCGGCGGTCGTCCTCCCGCACTTGATCCCGCATGGCCACGCCCTTCGTGATCCAGCCATCCCTCAGAGCCTGTTCGTGCCGCCGTGGCCACACCGTGGAGCACTCAGGGGGAAATCAGCTCCATCGCGTCGTGCAGCAAGGGTCAAAGATGATACCACAACAGTAAGGCCGACACACCGACATCTAGATCTGGCTTGATGCATCTGTGATTGTGTATGCAGACTGTACACTCCTCTTCAGCTGAGAGCCATCAAAGCGACCTCCCTCGAGTGGTACCCGACGATGAAACCCTTGGCCTGATCAGAGACGAGTTCCAGCACAGCAGATCTCTTCCGTGCGGTACCATTCGGTCGCTTGCGGCCAACCTGTTTCACAACCTCGTTTGTCCCTTACTGGACCAGCTTCGCAAGACCGGCCTTCTCATCAGGAAGGTCATTGATGCATACAACATGAATGACGAAGATGACCGCTCTCAAGTATCTGAAGTCCATTACACCATATTGGAGTGCGAAGACGAGAGGCTCCTCTTTGTCATCACAACTCCCGGCCCCCTGAATGGCTGGCGGCAGGAGGAGGCGCTTCTGAAGAGGCTGTTGGGTGACGGGATGACGCACGGCTTTATCACGGATGGGGCGTCATTGCTTGTCGTCAACATTGCCTTCTTCGACCCAGAGTGGGCGGATGGCAGTCATGACACGGAGAAGAGACTCTACTTCAAACCAGAGCGGATGTTTTGGCTGGCCATCGAGCCGCAGGCCCTTATGGACTACCTTGTGGAGGCCATCGGGAGGAAGCGAAAAGGCGACGACTTCAAATCATTCTATCGCTTGAAGGGCTACCGCGGGGCAGACGAGTTAAGATGATGAGACGGCTACGTTTCATCTATGAGGTTGACTCGCTGGCTCCTCTGGAATGCTCTGTCAATGAGGACACAGAGGGGAGACCTGAAGGGCCGAGCGCTCCAAGCTGCCACGCCATAGGGTTGTCTACGTGGCTTCCAGCAGAGAACGGAGTGTGTGTACTTTTTCCGTGGAGTTTGCTTGGATTTGCAGTGTCAATAAGGCGGTGTCAATAAGTCTGAGTGAAGATTGCTGAGTCTGAGGCATGATTCAACAAGGCATGACTCACAAATACAGGCCCGATTTGCACACACAGCGCTACACTGTGACACACACGGTTATCCATACAGACAGTCAGAGAGTGCTGGCAGAGACACCTCATCCACACATGAGACACAACACACACACACGTCGGGCAGACAGACAGACAGACAGACAGACAGACAAGCAGACAGACAGACAGACAAGCAGACAGACAGACAGACAGACAGACAAGCAGGCATCCATTAAAACATTGATCCATCGGACACAACACATATTTTGCTCCGGGATTGTGCCGATGGAGCGGTGTCTAGTGGCCGTCAGACACAGCAGTTCCGCCGCCACGATGACGAAACGGAGAGCCGAGCAGGTGGTCTTCATCTTGCAATAAAGCGGCAGAAACGGAACTCGAGTGCGAGCTTGAAAGAGGTTAGCTTTCATAGAAGCACGGAGCCCGTGGACATCTGATCATATGAAACCGCGGCTGATCATGTACTCGCACACAGGCAGCTTGAAAGATCCTCGGTCAATGATCGAATGAAGTGGCCGATAAGTCTGTCTGAGGTCACTGGCGGAGGTCACTAGCGGAGGATGTCACATACTTACCGCTTGTTAGGCCTTCATCATCGGCTGCTGTCGGTGCTCGCCGTCTTGTATGCCGCTGCCGCAGATCCAACTCTCAACACGTCGTCATGGCAGACGCCAGAGAAGTGGGAGCTTCTATCGCGCAGGTAACATATCCGCCGCGCATACACAGCAATGCATGTGCACGTCTGTGTTCAGATTCCAATTTCAATCACAGCACACCGTAAGCAGTTACAGGGCATGCTGCCTGTCTGCCTGACATTCATGGGTAAGACGTGCGTCATTTGCACGTGTGGCGTACGTACTTCGCAGATCACTTCCAGTGGCGCTCTCGAGTATGCCTTTCGTATCATGCCGCTGGAGAACCTGACAGAGCTGAGTGAGTGCGCTTCGTGCCAGCAAGACGCCGGGGCGCTGAGGGAGTTTGTGGATGAGTCGGGGCTTCTCTCTGTGCTACCTAATGACACTGACAGCACTCTCGCAGCGAACGTCTGTGCCACGTCCTTCATCGTCTGTGTCCGAGACGAGGCGACAGATGAGGAAGGCTATGTCCTGGCGCTGGTCGGGGCGATGAGCTTCAGCGATGTGTCGCCACTGCCTCAGAAAGTGGCAGCGCGTATAGGGCTTCAGCTGACACTCAGCAGATCGTTCTATGACTTACGGGCTGTGCTGGTGGTGTTTCTGTTTGAGATGCCCTTCACTGGACAGCTGGACGAAAGACTTGGGGAAATGACCTCAATCAGGATCATCGATATACACTCGGTAAAGAGAGAAAGACAGACAGGAAGATAATGTCACGCAGTCAACAGTGCTGCCGTCTGCTTTGCTTTTTCTGTGGTGTATGGTGTCAGACGGAGCTCTCTGGCCCAATGCCATCGTCGATTGGCAACCTGAGCAAGTTGCAGGCACTCATGCTTGAGGGGCAGAACTATACCAATGCACCTGTCCTGGGAGGCCCTCTACCGACATCTCTTCTTGATCTCTCAGCGCTGGAAGTGTTCACTCTGTCCTTCACCAAGTTTGAAGGTTTCCTCCCTGAGGTAAAAAAACCATTCAGACCAACCACCACACCACCACACCACCGTGTTTCTTAATTAGGGCATCTGCATCCGGATGACGAAAATGCGCGTGGTCATATCGCGCCACGGGGGATTAACAGCGACCAATGGTCGGCTGCCTGAGGGCCTCGCTGAGTGCCGCAACTTGGAGATCTTCTGGTTCGAGGCCATCGGCCTCACTGGGCCAGTGCCGCCTTACATTGGGAACTTCACCCGCTTAACCATACTGGACCTCTCGAAGAACAACCTAGATGGGCCTTTTCCGCCTTTTCCATTGTGGGCCAAACTGCGCGAATTGCGGCTTCTGAAGCTCAACACCAATAGCCTGTCTGGTGAGATACCTGAAGGGTTTGGGGCGGTTAGCCCGGACCTCCTGTGGGTGTCCGTGTACCGAAACAGAGTAAGCAAGCATCGAGAGGAGAGTCAACAAGGTGATCGGTGTCTTCTTGTATGTGCTTCTTCCCATTATCAGCTGACTGGTCCGCTCCCTGCGTCTCTTGGGCAAGCCAAGGAGCTCAGGCGGCTGGACGTCTATGCGCAGGACGGCGAGGGCATGTCGGGGCCTCTTCCACCGTCACTCGGCAACTGCACCAAACTGAATACTCTCAACCTGTTCAATAACAACTTCTCAGGCCCCTTGCCTGAGTCCTGGTCTCAGCTCACGGCGCTCGAGTACTTCAGAATCGACAGCAATAATCTAAGCGGTACACTGCGGCCGCTGGCGTCGATGAAGCGGCTGCAGACACTGATGTTTGGATACAACCAGGTGGGAGTTGACCTGACGCAGATGTAGCAGTCGAACTTTCAATACATCTTTCAACCGTTGCCTGTTGCCCAGTTGGAAGGCCCACTGCCCGCCGAGCTCGGCGGCTTCACTGAGCTGCAGGAAATTCGTGGGGCGGTCAACAGGTCGGCTTAGCCAGGCATCAGGTGGACACGTGCTCTGTACACTTTGTGTGTATCTATGCCTTCAGATTGACCGCTCTGCCGCCCTCCATCGACGGCTGGAAGAAAGTTTCTTTCATCGATTTACGCAGCAACGCCGTTCAAGGCCGCCTCCCTCCGTTTGGCCAGGCATCAGCTCTTCGGGAGCTGTATCTGGCCGACAACCAGATCGAAGGCTTCACAGACAACGGAACCATGCCAGAAGGGTATGCAGACGGACAGAGAATGACACGGACTGTGCATGTTGTCCTACCTTCATGCTCTCACCTGCAGGCTGGTGACGTTGAACATGGAGTTCAATCGCCTGACGTCAGTCCCAGAAGGGTGGAACAGCATGCCTGCGTTGGAGGAGATACTCCTCAAGGGCAATCAGCTCAGCGGATGGCCGACATGGGGGAGGACTTCAGCGCGATTTTGTCAGGCGAATGCTCGCAGTACGTGTGTTTGTATTTCTCATTTTCCTTTGAGCTGCATCGCTTGTCACTTGCTTTGTATTTGTTGGGCAGTCACGCCGC